ACGAGGAGGTGCAGGGGGAGATCCACGTGTGGGTGGAGGCTCTGGGGGGCCAGGGCGGCCGGCGGCTGTGCTGCACTGTGCTGGAGGCCAGGTGAGGAGGGGGGGATCACAGGGGGCTGTGTCTGCAGCCGGGACACAACCGGTGGGTCCTGGCTGCTCTGTGACTCAGTTTCCCCATTGCACCACCATGTTCTGTTATACTCCCTTGGGTGCAGAGCATCTTCCTCACCACCCAGCAGCTGGCGGGGGTCCTGGGACAGGGATCACCACATCTGCTGGTCTTTGGGGTGTGCATCTTGAGATGCTGGGACACCAAGGAGGTTTTGGGGAGGTTACTGGCAAACTCCCCCTCTTTTTGGCAGGGATTTGGCCAGGAAGGACCGGAACGGCGCCTCCGACCCCTTCGTCCGCCTGCGCTACAATGGGAAGGTGCAGGAAAGCACCGTGAGTATGGTTTGGGGTCCCCAGGGAGGGTGGGATCTGCTCGGCAATGGGGGGAGATGAAGCCGTGGCCTTGGCAGGTGGTGAAGAAATCCTGCTACCCCCGCTGGAACGAGACCTTCGAGTTCGAGCTGGCCGAGCCCCCCGAGGAGAAGCTGTGCGTGGAGGTGTGGGACTGGGACCTGGTGGGCAGGAACGACTTCCTGGGCAAGGTGAGCCCCCAGACCCCGGCACCGCTGCCCGGTGGGGCTCCCTGCCCGACCCCTCCTGCCTTCCCCTCGCAGGTGGTGTTCAGCGTCCAGGGGCTGCAGGCAGCCGGGCAGGAGGAGGGGTGGTTCAGGCTGCAGCCGGACAAGTCCAAGCCGAGGGAGGACGCGTGAGTCTGGGGGGGCTGTGCTCAGGGGTACACGGCTGGGGTGGTCCTGGTGTCTGCAGGAGCATCGGATGGGGGTTATTCCTGGGGAGCATCCTCGCCTTTTAGGAGGCAGCTCCTGGAAATGCTCTTGGCTGGGGCTGTCAGGGCACCTCCTGCTTGGTGAAGTGCTTCATCCATCCATCCATCCACCAACCCATCCATCCTTCTGTCTGTCCATCCTTCTGTCCATCCACCCACCTATCCATCCATCCACCCACCCATCCATCCTTCTGTCTGTCCATCCATCCTTCTGTCCATCCACCCACCCATCCATCCATCTGTCCATCCATCTGTCCATCCATTCACCCATCCATCCATCTGTCCATCCATCCATCTGTCCATCCATCCGTCCATCCATTCATCCATCCACCCACCCGTCCATCCTTCTGTCCATCCACCCATCCATCCGTCCATCCATTCATCCATCCATCCACCCACCCGTCCATCCTTCTGTCCATCCATCCGTCCATCCATTCATCCATCCACCCATCCTTCTGTCCACCCATCCTTCTGTCCACCCATCCTTCTGTCCACCCATCC